TCATGCCAAAGCCGAGATAAAATTAACAAAGCCGAATTGCCCTCTTCTTCAAGTTATTTCCCACGCTGAAGCTTTTCAAAAAACACAACTTGGGGCTGATGTAATTTTCTTGTCAATCTCCTATATGCTACGGCTTCCCCAAGCCATAATAGAAAAATGGTGCTGCTGCTCTTTATTTCCCTGTGCTTTTAAATCTCACGCAGGCACCTCTGATGTTTTTCCAAGCCTGATTCTTCTCATAATTTTCATGATATAGATTCCATCCTTATCTCTTTCTTTCCAAGCAAGAATCCTATTAAGAAAAGGAAACTATATAATAATAATATATTACCAAAAATAAAAACTAATATATATATATATATACAAAAATAAACCAGAAAAGCAAAATAACAAATTAACCAAAAAATATGATTTAACAATCTCCCCCTTTTTGCTTTTCTGAACAAAAATAATATATTGAACTAAGCATTAAGCACTCCCCCTAAATAAACATTGAAAAACATATATAAAAGAGATAAGGAAGAGAAATGCAAACAGTGATAAAGTCAAGCATTCCATCTCCCCCTTTTTGGTCAGAAAACAAAGACTTTATACGCCGAATATTAGAGTGATATGGCCCGAGCTCGGCTTCGGCTCCCCCTCAATCCTTGCATTAAATGACTACTCAATCTCAGCTCCCCCTAAATTCCTAAATTCGAGGTCTCGATCATGTATTAACTTGAATAGCAAGACCCTTGTTCGCTAATTATTTTCGCTATCCGCAAGTGTACGGAGTAGCTGTAGAAAGCGGCGAGCAAGGTCGTATTCCACAGAGACTGCTGTAAAACTAATTAAGTACCAAAATATAAACGACTAAATATTATCTAGACAAACGCAAGTTTGATTGGAGTTTTTATTCTAAACTAATGAATGAATGCAAAAATAAATTCTAACACTAATGAAGGCTTATTCTAAATAAATCAAGTATGAGAAAATAGATTCTCGGCTATGCTTTCCTCGGGATTATTCTAGCAAAGTTTTTTTATTCATTCAAACCTTATTTATTTCTACCAATCGTAGGGATAATCGCTAAAGTGATTTCAACTTTTCTCTCGAACAAGCAAATCGTAGATATTAATTGCTATCTATCTCCTCTCGGTCTCAAGATGAACAACTAACTCCCATAAACTCCTAAGATTCTAGTTCCTCGCAAGATCCTATCAACCTCTCGGTCTGTTTAGCCTCTTACGTTATGAATTTCCCAATTCTAGCAATCAATTATCTCCTCTCGGTCTCAAATCAATTACAAGTATGCATTCATAGCCGTCTACTCACACAATAATAATAAGCACAAGAAATCGATAAACGAAAGATAGAA